TACATGTATACCAATTATAACTTCATGAATGAATTTTATTACCTCTCTACAACAGTTATAATATCAAATAGAAATTAATATCATCTATCATTTGAACCTAGATCATCCAAGAATAATACAACATCCGAAAAATGTTAATATTATCTATGGAAAAACACTTACACTGCAATGTAATGGAACTAGTAGTCCTATCGCTAAAGTAACTTGGCTGAAAGATGGCAATCCACTGATAAGTTATGATGATCTGAAGTTAATTGAGAGCTTTTACGTTTATAGTCGTCTGACTATATCAAATATAACTACACAAGATGAAGGATTATATCAATGTCGTTACGATAATATAATAGGATCAATCACTAGCGAAGTCGCCACTGTTACGATTTACGGTAAGCACAGTACTTGTTTTAAAAATAAGTTCTTTAACAGAAATTATAATTATGATCTCAAAATATCAGTCGCTTCCATCTTAGTCGCTGTAATTAAATTTAGTAAATTTATGCGAAATAGCATTAACAAATACAGTTAACAAATTCAGATTTCTTTAACTGATATCAGAATTATGTATGAGTACATAGCATAAATTCTACAATTGCATACAAGAAATGGAACTTTTACCTAAAATTTCAGGTTATGAAATAGTTGCATTTATGAGTGAATTAACCGACATAAAGTTAAAAGCAAAGTATTCAGAAGTGTAATACCTAATTACAGAATGACAGCCCACCCAAATGTCTTAAAAACAATATGAACTAAACCTAATTACTGTATTTACATAATTTGATCACTTAATTGTGAAATTGAGAAAGACGAAGTTAGAAACGCTGTAGCAAAAGAGTGTTAATGACCTATAGGCTGTAGGAGACTTAATCGATTGACTGACTTAATCTTTGATGAATACGGTTATTACTTCTCGTCCAACTTTCATTAATGCAAGAAAATACATTGTAAACAACTAGGTCACTTGTTTTATTCAATTACAATACTTTAAAAATGTTGTTTTTGTAGATAACATTTACTGTAACACCAAACAATCCAAAATATTGATTCGTAAGAAATAATGCGTATGTGAACAGACCGCGAGCGCGTACATAGTCACCCACTTTACAAAATATTCGATTAATCTTTGCGAACGATCACTTCTCTACAAGCACATATAATTGCAGTTAAGAAGTGCATGAACTATTATTTTACTTACTATATATCTATGACGAATATAGAAATGAATTAACATTAGTGATAGGTTATAAACATAACTATAATACTATTTATGGCACATTATAACCACGACTCTTCACCTACTTATTTCGATATTAGATACTAAAACAATACGAAGTATTGGAAGAGAATTCTATTTCGGACTTTTCGACTCTGTTAATTCTGGTACAACGGTAGCTGCTATCGTCACAGCTCTAGATAAATCTGCAGTCATTACTGTCAGAAATAACTATTTCAATACAGCTACTCAATACAATGTTTCATCTTACGACTCGACAACCATAAAATTTACAATAACAAGCGAAAATAGAGTAACAGGAGTAGCTTCAAAGACAATACATATCACTTCAGATGAAGATATAACTGTTACCAGTTTACAAGCATCTAACGTACTAGCAAGTTTATCTCATATTTTACCGGTCCAATTTTATGGTAAAGAATATGTTATTGCCACATATACTCCTCTTAGTGTTGGACATATGTTAATAATCAGTAAAGATGCTAACACACAAGTTGAGATTAGCTTCCCAAGCAATACTAATTACGGAGGTCAAACTTATTCTAGAAATAGGAATCTGACGATTAATTTACTACCTAATCAAGGATTCTTTTTCGAGATCGCGCAAGATCTAACTGGAACAATTATATATTCTAACAAAGATATCTCAGTTCTAGCCGGAAATCGTTGCGCTAACGTTCCTACAAGTAACAGAAGTTGCGAACCTTTACAAGAACATTATATGCCAAGTAAATACTTAGGCCAAAATTATATATTATCGACATTTACTGGTAGAGCAGCTGGAGATATATATCGTATCGTCGCCGCTTACGATAATACTACGGTACGCCTTCAATCAGCAAGTTCAAATTACGAGTTATCCCGAGGCGAGTTTATACAATTCGAGTTAGCTAGCGGCAGTGATTCGTTTCTTACGTGCGATAAGTCATGTCTAGTTGTACAATACGCTAAAGGAACTAAGGCAGATCTTAAGAGAGCTGATCCGTTTATGACAATTGTACCAGCAATCGAACAATATAGTAACAATCTCGTAATAACCGTACCATCGTTATTTACAACATTCAATATCAATCCAAATTACGTCTTAATCACGATACAAGATAACTATAAAGACGGATTAATGTTAAATGGAAAAGTATTACAAGGAATCAGTTGGCGACAAGTCACTACGAATGATGTAAATAATGTTTACTCTACAGCATCTATAAATGTTCCGATTGGTACAAGCAGATTAACTCATAATGACAGTAGTATAATATATGGAGCCATTCAATACGGTTGGGCTTTTAGTTTTATGGGTTATGGTTCATTTGGCGATATACAAAGGTCTACAATGTTTTCTTGTAAGTCAATTGAATTCACAGTCTACGATAATCGTATTCATTAAGTATATTTAAATTTTTATAGTAAGATCGTTCATGCATAGTATTTTAACCTATATAAATAACGAAACTATAATCTTAGTTATACAGTAGTAAGATATTACTTATCATAAATAATAGAATTAGTAGGCTACAATATATAATCTTGTATAATCATCTATAATAATAATTGCAAACGTTCTGCTACCGTATATCTACAAAAGTAATTCTAAATTTAAATAATTTGTGGATAGTTTTTCCCTAAAATCATTTTATGGAATAGATAAATATCTATGTGGCCACCAATCCAATTTATGGCTAAATCTTGATCCATTTCATAAAAATTAATTTATACGGTTAATATACCTAGATTCACCCCGAATTGTTCAGTATCCAACAAATACGTTTGTGTATGAAGGCAACTTGACAATGCTAGAATGTAATGGAACAAGCTCACCGATATCTACTGTTACTTGGTTAAAAGATGGCATAGCTCTTCAAAATTATAAAAATATAACGATAATAGAAAAATTTTATACGTACAGTCGTCTTGTAATACCAGAAGTATCTAATAATGACATCGGGAACTATCAATGCCAATACAATAACTTTTTAGGATCAGCAACGAGTAATAAGACGTTTATAGATTTGATAGGTAAGTTAATTTGGTTTGAAAATGTATTAAAACGATATATTGCAATAGATGTAACCGATACGCCATAGATAGACTAAGTATTTGTCACTAGAAATAGGCTAATTCTAAATAAATTACCGTTTATCCTTGCTCTATATTTCAACAAATTTACTTTATTTGACGTACAGAATTTGTAGAAAGTTATGTTCTGATCCAATTCAGTGTAGATGTGAATAAATATAAATTTTAGACTAAAGGCAATTAAACGGATTATAGACTATAAACTACTTCTAGTACTTCTACGTAATCAAACATTACTGAATCTACAATAATTCTCTAAACGAATTACAAAATTAATTTGATTAAGGTATTATTTTAGTAACGTAGAGCAAGGATAAGGTTAGCAGAATAATAAAAGTATCAAGATTTGGCGACTAAGTTTTAATTCTTTGATTAAAATGTTTTTTAACAATGTAGCCATTCCAACATTTGAACGCAGTCCTAGTCCAGTTTTTGTACCGATTAATCAAGAAATCGTCTTACAATGCCATGGTAGCAGTAATCCAGCTGCAATTCAATTATCATGGATAAGAAATAGCACATTACTAAATAGATATTCTACTTCGCTAATAGTCAATAGCAGCAATTTAAGGTTTGTTGGTCAATTAAAAATAAATTCATCTAACAACGAAGATGCTGGCAATTACAAATGCAATATTAGCAATGGCTACAGTTTAGCGCTTTCGTCTGACATTATAGTAATAGTTCAAGGTAATAATCTAAAATTTAATAAATATCCAATAT